ACTAGGGGTGACCTTTCCAAAAATCCTTTCTTAGTTTACAACAGCATTAGATGCCAAAATTTCAAGTTTGAACCCCAATCGGTTTAGACTTTGCGGTAATGATTCAGTCAGTAATGGTAAGTAATTTTATATGTACTCGTATAGATTACAGATACAATTTTTAGTTCTATTAGGTAATAAAATTATCGCGGACGCAGTGATTATAATTACAATATTTATTGAAATAACTATAACAAGTGTAAATGCCCCTTTTTTTTTCCGTGCGGAAATCCCCTCGGATACCACCTGTCCGTGGTGGCATGTCGGACTCGAACCGACTAAAACCGCACGCCGTCTCGGGTACTAATAGCCGGGCAACCAGGTATACCTTAGAAAGGAAGTCCCTGGTGCCCCGACATACCTCGGGTCATCTACAGACGAGTAGACGACCCCCCCCCTGTGTGGGAACCCCATGTTCCCTGTGCTCCCTCGAAGCGAGCGCGCTTCGCAACGCGCTCGCCGCCACCCCGGCCTGCTTGCATCAAATGCCCCTAAAACTTTTACGACTTGGCTACATCGTCGCGGTTGGTTTGTAAATACCTTCTACATTTATTTTCACTTCACATAATAATATTATATTTTGGAACAATATGTCCTAAATATTAATATTGTACCCACGCAGCCAAACTTAGCTCATAAATACTATTAGTTCTAGAACGCGGATGAAAACATCTCAAACTATATTTTTATACTGTATATTATTTTTTAATACCTACAATGAAAATAAAAACACAAGAAATTTATTCAAATTAGGTTGAGTGCCAGCACTTTTTGAACGTCATTGTTTACATAAAAAGTACCCCAAACCACCCAACTCGTCACCACTTTCAAGTGTTTTAGCTGGAAACAAGAAGCGGTGAAAAAAACTCCCCAGCAACACACTAAAGGCCATTAAGTGTCCCTGTCCTGGTAACTTCTGGACGAGGTGATCAAGCCGCTGCCCCTAGGTGTGATCACCTCACGTTTTCGGAGAGGAGGTGTGTATTTAATTAAAAGAAAAGAACTTTCATTGTGCGGTGCAGGTTACTTCGAAGTACGGCTTATCATCGCTCGATGACAATGAAGTATGTTTTTAACTGTAAGAAGATGTCTTTTTAAGACAGAGTACTAGAATTTACCAATAGACTTTTATAATTTCGTAAGAACATAAATTGTGTAATTAATTGTTTAATTAACAAAACTTAATTTTACAATGTAAAACAAAAAAACGTTATACATTAAATTAAATGGCACACGTTATACATCGAATTTAATTTTCAGTGAATCAAATTATGCAATTGAATTGTTCGTTAAGAAAACTTGTATTTATTTAAACCTGTGTTTAAAAAAATGATTTATATAATTTTTTAAATGAATTTAATATTTCCCAGAGTAGTCTCTGAGTATAATAAGTTTTGAAAATAAAAAAAACGCTTGTAAATTATTTATTCTTGCAAAACACATTACTTACATAAGAATAAGCACAATTGCAAATATTTGGCCATGACCTTGTGCAGTGGCCATTGTAGCTATTGTGTAGAAAATTGGCGTGTCTACGGACTCCAAACACACCTTGTTTGAGGGGCAGAGTATGACATCAACTAACTACGGTCTTTGTTTTGATGTAATCAGGTCTAAAACTTGGTCTGGTTACACATATTGTATAGACAAAAATAATGGGAGTTCTCAATATAGATACGTATATTTCTTTTGATTAAATACACACAAAATACTTATTACTTTTTACATAGACGGATTTTGATATTTTTTATATGTGTAACATAAGGACACGAACAGTGGACTACGAATAGCTGATGATGATGACGTGTAACATCTTTGATATAACAAAACCACAATCTCGTAAAAAAAGAAGATAAGAAATCTGATTATCAAAAATTCATAAGCATATGCGTATGTATACTGTAAATTCGAGAGGCTTGAAAATGACATGTAATATAATAAAATAATTTTCAAAACATTATGGTACTCGTATATTGAGTTTTGTTTTGCGACGTTATTGCTGCTTTTTGCGTTCTGTCAGCTGTGTACAAGAAAGATGGTCACAATTATGAGAAAGGAAGCCAGCTAGAATAGTGAAGATTCCTTGGAGTTTTATTAGAGTTCAAAATATAATGATGTATCCAGGCAGATTTGGATTGGCCCAATTCAATGATCGGCCTGCAGTACGATTAGTCTGCTGTAAGCAAATTAGAGACAGTCCATGATAATAGCCCTATTAGTTACGAATATTTTAAAAATGAAGCTGTCGTCTATTGTTCTCCAGTTTCCTTTTATTACTTCTATTTATACACACTAAACAGTAGTAAGAGATTACATCATTAGGGTGTTTAAATCAGATAGCAGCAAATGGTTGGTGATGAATTGAAACAATCGATGGTTGCCGATGCGGTCATTGACCATTCATTTTTGTTATAGTAGGTACCTGTTAGTGTATTGTTATTATGATAATTATGTAAGATTAATAAAATAATTAACATAATCGAACTTTCATTATTAAAATAATAATAATAATTTTCTACCACATTTACACAACGCCATCCAGTCCCAAACTAAGCAGAGCTTGTACTATGGCTACTAGACAGCGGATATAAATACATATGTATTTACAATTTTTTTGCAAATACATACTTATTATACATAGAAACACCCAGACTAAATCAAACAAATGCATGCACACAAATGTTTGACTTAAGTGGGAATCAAACCCGCGACATTTGGAATAGCAGTCCGTTACACAAACCTCTACGCCATTCGGTCGTCTATGGATGTGATGTTATGTTTATGTTTTATGTAATGAGGGAGATAGAAGTACAGCAAAATATTACGTCAACAACACGTTTTATAGTCTCATGAGAATAATAAATAAGTCTTTATTAGATTACTTGTCTATAGATGTCTAAAACAAAATAATGGCTTTGATCGCTTAATCTAGAATGTATTATTTGCAATACGATCAAGCGATTTTATTGATTTCAAATTTGGCAGGTGGTATAGAGAGTTTCAGAAATTACCTGAAATACTAAAGAAATATAAATAGTAGATGCTGACAAACACAATTCTCAAAACAAAATAACCTCAAAATCTAATTCTCAATTTTGTTTCTGAAGTCCCTGTCTGCATAACAACAGCCAAGCATCAACAGCTACAGCCCGTTCTGGATTTTGAAATGGGCAAAATAAATCCAAATAATAATCATAAAAAAAATAGTCATCAACAGTTTATAACAGTCCACTGCTGGACATAGGCCTCTCCTTAGAAAGGATTGTTAGGCCTACTAAACCACGCTGGCCAGACGGGTTGGTATAGAGTTTGTTTCAAGTTTTCCTTCTCTTTGCAGTGCTGGTGTCTTGCGTAGTTTGTTCCCTTAGTCGGCTCTTACGACACCCACGCGATGAATAGGGGTGGTGACATTCCGTGTTCTTAATCCGTCACCACACACAAAACAAAAATAGTAAAATAAATATAATAATAATATGTCTCACACATCTCACACACGGCCGTCTAATCCCAAACTGGGCAGAGCCTGTGCTATGGTAACCAGACTGCTGATAAACATACTCATATATTTTGAAATATATTTGTATATTTTTGTCCTGGGTGGGAATCGAACCCACGACCTCCGCCTTAGCAGTCAGAGTCAGTAACCACTAGACCAACAGGCCTGTCAAATCTGAGCTCAATTTCTACAAAAGGCAATTCGAAAATGGATTAAAAACTGCTTTGTCGACTAGATAATTAATACCACTAGCCTTGATAGTGATAGTAGGCTACTTAATAATAATAATAATATATCTCACACATCTCACACACGGCCGTCTGATCCCAAACTAGGCAGAGCCTGTGCTATGGTAACCAGACTGCTGATAAACATACTTATATATTTTTAAATACATACATATTATAGATAAATTACACCCAGACACAGAACAAATGACCGTGCTCATCACACAATATTTGTCCTGGGTGGGAATCGAACCCACGACCTCTGGTTTAGCAGTCAGGGCCACTAACCACTAGACCAACAGGCCTGTCAAACTTACTACTTACTACCCATATACTCGTAAATATATGGGTATAACTTTCTTTCTGGTATTACTCGCTAGTTTGGTATTCGCGGGTAATTGATCAAATACGATGTGGTAAATTCCCACCGTACAGTAACATTTTGAGACATTATGAGATAGGTCACCAAATTCGGTTTGGCTTCTCTGATTTAACCAGTTTTTATAGAAATGGGTAATTAGTTTCCAAAAACCAATCCGACATAGGTATACCTTACATCATATTTCATATAGAAATGTATTTCTAACATCATAAAATAAATTACTTCTGCACATTTGTTTTCGTTCCCTAAAAGGTTATTTCATAGGTTCAACGACTTGAGGTAATTTTTTATTCACGAGGCGGGTCGACCCAGTTTTTTCTTCGGATTCCTGTATACTCGATTTTGTAATTATGTTATTGTGTACATACGAGATTGTGAAATATTGTATACTACTTTTTTGCCCGACCTCTGTCCGACCATTTTAGGAATTATCGACTTAAATAACACATTTATGTTGTCTGGGCGTTTGGACTTTTTTTGCTAATTTTTTTACATACGCTTGCGTCTTAATGGATTTTTGAGAAATTTGCAGAGACAGTATCACTACACTGTGTGCCACTTTGAAATAAAAGGGATCCGGGAACAGTTATTATTGAGACCTCCGGATCCCTCTTAGTGCGGCATTTACCCCTTTTTTTTACATTGGGAAACCCCCATCGGGCCGTCATCGTGGAATCATGTATCCTAGCTTAGCCCCTTTTTTTTTTCCGTGACCTAGCTTAGCCCTACGTGTATTGTATATATTATATTATTTTTTCAGTTTTCTATTAACTAACAAGACAGCTTTAGTCCAAAGTCTTCTAGTCTTTTACCAAAAGCTTTAAACTGACGGTTCAAATTATTTATTTGTTTGCAGGTCATTAAGATACCAGAAACAAAAGAAGGTTTCATAGATTTGAACAATTTGGAGCAGAAACTCCAACAAAATTCTGCAACAGGAAAGAGGATGATTGGATTCTTTCCAGCGGCTTCGAAATTAACAGGAGTCTTGACTGACGATGTGGCTACCACCTTACTTCTGCACCAGTACGGAGCGTGGTCATTCTGGGATTATACGTTGGTAGCCCCGTCATGTGCAGTGGATATGAACCCTACTTTTCCAGGAGTTGAAGAGGAGATGGTGAAGAAAGATGCCTTGTTTTTCAACTGTGAAAAATTCGTGGGTGGAGTGCAAGGACCATGTGTCGTGATTGTAAAGAAAAACGTCTTTGAAGATACGCCGATATATTCTGAAGATGTTGAGGTAAGATAACTAACTTTACAAAAAATATGTCATTGACTTCAATGCGTCATGATAAATTTTAATAAACTCTTTTCTACATCCATCACTTTTTAATCTTTAAAGGTTTTTTTTAAAGGCATCATAATTAAGTAGACTAATAACATTAATGGTCAGTAATTGACGATAATATCACGTAACATACAGAATGATTTAGTTAAATGAAGATTCTCGTCTAAAAGTCGGTTAATTTTAGCGCAATTCTGTAAAAAACCACAAAGATATCTGTTTTGTATTTTATGATTTCAAGTATGAATTATTATATTGTGTTTCGTGAAATAGGCACGCTTCCAATATCTCTGCGGTTAGACTACGCAGCTTATTGCGTCGTATTACAAGCAAGAACTTTTTGATCTCATAGAGATTTACCAAAATATGACATTTGATAATTTTGCCTTGGTATGCATGTAAAACCTAGCTAGATCGATTAATTAAGCCCTCAAAATCCCCTGCATACTAAATTTCATGAAAATTGTTTGAGCCGTTTCCGAGATTCAGATTATATACACACATACAAGAATTGCTCGTTTAAAGGTATAGATAGATATATAGATAGAATGTAAAGATAGAAGTGAATAAGAACTCGTGAACATAGAAAATCTAGAATAAAACGAATTTAAGGCAAATATTATAATGATTACTTCAAAACATAAATGAAGACTATTTGGAACATCATCATCAATCATCAACAACCCTTAACTGCCAGTCCACTGCTGGACATAGGCCTCTCCTCACAATTAAGGTTTTGGGCTACTCTACCACGCTGGCCAGACGGATTGGTATGGGGTTTGTGTCAAGTTTTAATTCTCTTTGTAGTGCTGTTGTCCTGCGTAGTTTTCTCCCTTAGTCGGCTCTTACGATACCCACGGGATGAATAGGGGTGGTGACACTTTGTATTCTTAATCCGTCACCACACGGTATTTGGAACGCATACCAATAAATTCTAAACAATTTCAAAATAAAATGTAAATTGGCTATGAGTAGCAAGGAAACTACATTATATTAAGTAAACATGATGCAAAGCTATGTTAAAATGCTTGGGGTTTTAAACACAGCCAATCTATTTCAAATCAAAATATTACATCAACCCTACTTGATGCTAACTTCACTACGTATTTTCACTGACAATGCGCACTGAATTTGAAAGTGGTTCAACAATCCTTTGCGAATTGTTGTAAAACCAACCCTGGTTAAGAAGATACTACGAGGTTTGTGGCTTCCATTGCGCAGGTAGGTAGTTAGGTATCATTTAATAGTAATTTAGAGCTTATAGGGTCATGGAATGTCAGATTGACCTAACTTTGAGAATTTCGCTGAGGCCTTAACTATTCCAATGTTTTCTCAATAGGTCCTGAGTGAGAGGATAGAAGAGTTGAAGTGTACGGAAGCTGTAAGAGCTGCTCTAGTGTTGCAGTTAAGAGATGCTGTTGGACTTCAGGCCATAGCAGACAGACAGGATAATATCACCAGGTAAGTCTAAAGCATGTTGTTACGCATACGACACAAAAGGATGGAAAACCAAAATTATGAGAAACGGAAATGAGGTGATATAGAAAACCAATGATACAATAAAAAATACTATCAAATATCTATATGGTAAGTTTTGCAAATTGTTGACAAAGAACATGTTATGAACACCCTGTTTTTTTTTTAATTTTCAATAAAATGCCTTAAAATTCAGTTCCTGACTGACCTAGAATTCACAGGAAACCAAATTTATTTTGTAAATGAGTCCATTAACAAAATAAATAACTGTCACGAAATATTTCATGACCTTAATACTTAAACACACATATAAACATTATCAAATATCTATAGAATTTGAGATTCTTCAGAAGTCCGGAAATGGTCAAACATTTAATTGCAAGATACCGTTACATTGATAAATTCCTTTCATCATGATTGTCATCTATCTTCCAGAGCAATAAACGAGATAATAACTGTTCTTGTAATAACAGGTCTAGTTTTTATATATAATTATGAAAAAGGCAGTCGTTTATTACGATAATACGATATGTAACAGTTATAGGGGTAATTATGTTTTATATTCTTCACTTGGCAATGCCTGTTGTTATAGGCCCGAGGCCATTTTCAAAAAGAAAAGCGTCACTTTCATTACATAACAGTCGGTCATCCTCGAAATATAAATCTGTGAGTAAAACGAAATTTCTTCAATCAAAATAAATTTTGAAAAAGGATGAGTTAGTGACGGGATAGTGGTTAGTGGCCCTGACTGCTAATTTGTGTAATACGAATTCGTAGGTTCGATGATTCCTACCCAAGTCAAATATTGTGTGATGAGCACGATCATTTTTTCTGGGTCTAATTTATCTATAATATGTATGTATTTAGAAATATATAAGTATGTTTATCAGCAGCCTGGTTACTATAGCCAAGGCTTTGCCTAGTTTGGAATCAGACTGCCGCGTGAAACCGGTACGATGTGTGGAGTTATTATATATTACTATATAAGTTATTATATAAGTGATGGTATACACATTTTAAAGATTCTCACTAGAAATAGACAAGGTCATTTACCAAATTCCATTTGTAGTGCAGGCACGTTCGTCGTCGATAACGAGTTCGGTGTGTCGAATAACTAGTGGAAAAATAGATGAGGTGGGCAGAAACAAAGTCTTATCAAGACTAGATTTATACGTTTATTTTAGAAACAGACTTCATCCTTAAAACGTGGGCGAGCCGTCATCATCATCAACAGCCTTTAATAGTCCACTGCTGGACATGGGCCTCTCCTTACAAAAGAGATTTTGGCCTACTATACCACGCTGTTATTAATACGGCAGTTTGGATGGACAAATGTTTGCTACTCAATGACGCTAGAACGATTGCACGGGTCTGGATAAAATGTGGCACAGATAGAGTGAAACAACACATAGGTTAGTTTTTATCCCGAAAATAATAATTGGTAAAATCATCATTTTCACGAACGAAATCTCTGGATGAAGCTAGTAATATAGTTGAATAGAATACTAGTAGTAATAAATATTTATCTACTGTTTAGGGTTTACTACATTCTCATTAATTCCAGCTACGTAACATACCGACGTCAGTAAACCTTCTAAATCTAACAATTCAAAATGGTGTTCTATTTTTACCCGACTGCCAAGTAAGGGTTATGTTTTTCTCGCGTATTTTGTAATCATGTAATATTTTTCATTACCTCATATCTTCCAAACTGCTGCACGGATTCATTTAATTAACGTATCGTTATATCGTATGATAACCCAAGTGTTCTTAGATAAGTGACGCGAAAGAAAAACCAACATGATTAAAGGGTTCATCATGAGGATTTAAAAATGGAACATCATGAACATATTTTAATTAGTTCATTACTTTTAAATTGTCTTTTTGCAGTCGGATTTTAAATTTCTTTACTATTTGTTTGACTGTGTTGTATTATAGGCATTTCATTCAGTATTTTTTTCTATTGGCATTGGGCTTTAAGAGTAATATTTTTCTAGTAAATATAGATTTTACTTTACCATAAATGGTACTATATAAAATAATATTAACACTTCTTATGTTCTTAATACTATTTCATCACAAGTTTATTATAATGTGATGCGATCATGCGAACAAATCTATGCTATTTCTACTTTTAAATTCCGTCTATGTAGGCTTTTGTTTCAGTGAATCAAAGAAAATGCTTCGGAATTTCACCTTCCGGCTGAATTCACAAACTGAATCCAGTTTATCAATTCAGCTGGATTTAAGCTAGTGAATTGAATGGAAATGAAATCATACGTTTCTAGAATGTGGATGGCGCGGTGACCGATATCAAAAATAGGCCGATTTAAATAATCTATACTTAACCTTTACAGAAGTATCATAGACTTCAAAACGCCTACATCATGGTGAATTGGTATTAATGGTATTTTGTATTAATAAACTTTAGAACAGAGGTTTAGTCCTTACCTTCTCTTGGAGGTTACCTTCTCTTTGCAGTGCTGTTGTCCTGCGTAGTTTGCTCCCTTAGTAAGCTCTTACGATACCCACGGGATGAATTGGGGTGGTGTCGTTCTTCTTTATCTACCATCGTCATTATACGAACGTTCTTGATAAGTTAAAAATCTGTTAATCGAATAACCCATGATGAGATATTAAATAAATAAAGATTACACATCGCTGTCTAGACCAAAACTAAGCATAGCTTGTCGTACTTACGTATATTAAAAAAAAATACATTACTGTACGAGTACATTAAAAAACAAACTCATAGAAATATTTACAATGGCTGAGAAATGAATCTGGCAACACCTGATAATGTAACTAAACATTCAAGCGCCTTCTAACATTCAACTCGTTACGGTATCTCATAACAATTTGGTAAAATCTTTTGTCGAGAAGCGCTGTAATGAATTTAATTAAAATAAATTGGCTAGTTATGGTGATTGTAGCATTCATGTCTATACCCATCAAACAACAGCCCAGATAAACATATCGTTTAGTAAGAATTACGTATGACATAAACCTTTCAATTTTATTTGTGGTGTTCATATTGTTACATCATTTATATCTCATCTGTTAGATAAATTAAGTAAGGAAGGCGCCACACCAACGCAATGCGAATAGAAGGACGTGCGTCACGTTTAACACTTATATCTAGTGTCGCAGGCAAAGACAAAAACGAGATTTGTGACAAAATGCTGAAATATTTATTTGTACTGGAGCTACAGAAACAGTAGCAAAGTCTATGTGTTTCTGTGATACTAATGGTTACATTTTCGCACGCACAAAATGATTATTGAAAAATAACAGATAATATGCCGCGTTTTATTATTAAGTGACAGGAGATTCAAACAGTTAATTTCACAGTTAAAAGTACAAATTAAACAATAATATTTTGCCCTTTCTTTACTGTATCCTACTTCTTTATTTGACGTCATAACGGAAACTAACTAATTTTATAAAGTTGATTCATAAAACAGTATACAAGGTCTACCTTGAGAGAGTCTACGAAGAAAACATTGCAATAGACTCACTTGTGTCGGAGTATCGTGTGGTTTTGTCAGTTCAATTTAGACATATATCGTGATGATGACGATGATAAAATCACACAACACAAAAAGACTAGGTTTGATTAAAACTTTAGTAAGTAATTTACTATCCAGAGTTTTATATTTTACCGCTACATTCCAGATTAGCAGATCTCGCGTATACCAGTTTTTATTTTGCAGTCTTCCTTGAGCAATAAATCGTTCAGTATTTTGGGCGCGTTGGCAAGCATAATCTATGTAACAACAACACGCAACGTGTAAATATTTATTCTGAAAGACAGTTATATCTTGAATACAACGAGGCTGGAGGTGAAGTTATTTTTATCCCTCGGAAACCGAAACTTTTTTCTCGATGAAAGTTTTTTTGTCTTTTTCTACACCCCTAAACACGTATATAAAAACAAAAGATGATCTGTCAAATAGCTAAGGTGTAAAAGTCAAAACTATTCATAAATTAGCCAACAGTAACTAGATTAATGCACTTGTGATTTATTATCATTGTTTTATTACGGGGAGCAAACGAGCAGACAGCTTACGAAAAAAACGAGCCTACTTGTGCCGATAAATGGCTCTTCTACGGAGAGGCGAATTGTTGTTGATTTCTCTATATTTCTCTATATTTTAATTTGTTCTCTATATTTTAAATTGACTTTCTCTCTCTCCTGGGTCTCAAAAAATATATCACGAAAGCGGTGACAGACAGATATATATAATAATATATTTTTTGTTACTGATGTTTTGTCTTCTGTTGTTTACAGTAAATAACCCTTTTTTTTTCCGTACGGAAAACCCCTCGGATACCACCTGTCGGTGGCATGTCGGACTCGAACCGACTAAAACCGCACGCCGTCTTGGGTACTAATAGCCGGGGAACCAGGTATACCCTAAAAAGGAAGTCCCTGGTGCCCCGATATACCTCGGGTCATCTACAGATGAGTAGACGACCCCCCCCCTCGTGTGGGAACCCCATGTTCCCTGTGCTCCCTGGAAGCGAGCGCGCTTCGCAACGCGCTCGCCGCCACCCCGCCCTGCTTCTGCTAGGGTGACAGATGGCCTCACCTGTCACCCCCAGGCCTGCGCTTATGGAGGACGGAGGTCGTTCTGCGACCTCCGGCGCCTGAGTCGCCTGCGGTACCTGGCCCGTTCCTGGCGGGCCGGGAGAGTCCTAAACCTCTCTCGGTCCCGCGCCGCCGTCTCCTTCGCGAGCATAACTTGCTCGCAGAAGGAGACGGCAGTGTTCCACGCACTCTCGCTCCGCACGATAGCTGCAATCAGGCTATCGAGCGAGAGAACTCCCACTCCGATGGCCGCCACGAGGTCTCGCCTCTGCTCAACCCACGCCGGGCACTCTGCCAGCGTGTTGAGAGCCGTGTCCACGGTCTGGCCATCGCAGTGGTGGCACTCAGGCGTTGGCTCCTTGCGGACAGTAAATAACCCTAAGATAAAAGGCGA